GCTTTGGCCATTTTTATAATTAACAAGTATCTAGGTATTTAAAACAATAATTGTTAATAGACTATTTAAAACACAAAAATACGTCTTTATGAAAAGAAAAGGTGTATATGAACTGTTCAAGTGTTAGTGTCTTTTTTTATATCCCTTAACGGTTAAGTAATGCGATTCCCTTTAAACCTTAATTCAAAGTTCATATTCGGCATCCCACAATAAATGGTTACACAATGCAAAAACGGAGGAGCTCCGTCTCAGCGAAAATGGCCCACCTCATGAAAATGTATTTTTGAATAAATGGTGTCATTCCGTTGTAATCCGTATCCGTAAAAAAATAACGAGAAAATTTATTTGCAAATGTCCTAACTTTCGTAATTATAATATGCACCTGAGATGGGATATCCTGACCTACAGATAAAGTGTTTTGACTTAAGGAAATATGATATTCTTTTCTTTAAATCATTTAAATTACGCATGCCTTCTCATATTTATTTAACAGTATTACAGTACAGTTTCCAACCATTCGTTTACGATGAAAAAAGTGCATTTACGAGCTAAGCATTTGAACATTTTACGGCAGTAGCGCTAGCAGACGGATGTTTTTTCAGCGCAAACATTTCGTATATCTCATGAGCCGTCTGTAGTATTTTGTCTGTGGTGATAGGTAGCCAATGGTCAAAGGATTATTAAATTTTGGTCAATACTCGTCAACCGGAAGTTACCTTGTCGCTCGTTGTCTATATTGGTGCAGTTTATTAACGAGCTCCTAGCGAGTTTATAATTTTGCGGTGTCTGTCCGTCCGTCCGTTAGCACGATAACTCATAAACGAATGGACCGATTACGATGAAATTTTGCAGGTGGATTCTTTATCAAATTTGTAGATCGGAGTTCGTGAATTCGCAATGTAAACCAAAAAATAAAGTAGGCCCTTTTTGACATCTCCGTTAGTTATTAACATAATTGCATGAAATTCAATATGCGCATAGCATTAGCCATATGAAACACAATTCCAAAAGTTGAGCCTAATCGATCAGCATTCACAGTGCCCTTTGCGCATCTCTACCATTTACAGACCGAATTGCAAACTTTCTTATTTATGAAGGGATTTAAATGAATTTTGATACATAGCCATTTGGAATAAAAGCAAATGTAGCGCCATTTTCCAAAATTGGTTTTGTGTATGATGTGCAGGGCCAATGTTCTTATTTATGGAAGCAATTAAATGGAATTATTCTCTGTCTTAGTTCGTCTATGTTCACCGGTTGCGTTTTAAATACGACAGATTTCAAATGTATAATATTAGTTTATTTTTTGATTTTGATAATTACTAACCTAAATGTAATGCTATTTGGTATGGTTGGAAAGCACTTTTCAGGGCTTTCCAACGACGTATCACACATGGCGTGTCACTATTTAAGATTTAAAAGTTGGGGTGGCTGGGGCGCAGGGGGTTGGAGGGGGTGCGCCGCCAACTATGTCATTGTGATTTCCTCCCCCCCCCCCCCCCGAATGACCGAAACGGATTTTGATTTTTTTAAATATCTCGTTTATTTACTAAGACATGGGGGGTCGTAAGTTTTCAAATTGCCACCCTGTATAAAGCAAAACTCTATCTTTATTACTGCTTGAGGTACAGTCACCTGCCATTTAACCACCCAATACTCTCAGAGAACTCGAACTCATCATGTTCCACTTTTTGTTTTATAAAGTTAATGTCCACTTGTAATAAAGGAAATGTTGGCAGCTATCCCAGTCAAACTTCTAATTGGCAATTCTCTGTAGCTTATTTTGTCTCTTTGACCCATCCCTTTTTTACCGTGTGAAAAAGGCGTAATTTCAAATGAATACACAATTGTATAATAAAATTAATTGTTAATGACTAATGAGTAATTATTCTCCTTCCAGGTAATTTTCATATCGCTCATATTTTCTCTAAGATGTTGACTGCATTCTATTAGTGTAGAACGCATCGTGCCTGAACAGACGCAGGGACCGATCTTCGCAAAATGCGCTGTTGTCACGACCGAAATGTCTACCGTCTATGAAATGTGTGCTCCAAAATGAAACTACCGCGACATTTTTGTTAATGCGTCCGAGATATATCATTACCGTTACCAAGCATTAGGTGTCTAGTATGATTTAAATTTTAAATTATCTTCAAAGGACTTCAAGGCTTATACCTGTTTGTCATCTTCCTCTTAATTAAAAATGTCGAAAAAAATTAAATAAATTATTTTCAACTCAATTTGTGGAGGGGGGGGGGGCACTAAACGCCAAATTGATATCAGGAGACAAGATAACAATCCTTGTTGTATTATTCATAATTTCGCTCTAATAAATAAATTAGTTTTGCGTAGCTGTATTTTTCCTATTGCCTAATCGTAATAAAGGAAAAATAAGCTTTCCAACGATGCGTTGACAGCGTTGGTCGCTCTTTTCACACCGGTGAAGACTGCTGGCAAATTTCTATCCTACTGACATTACACAATCTGGGTTGAGTCGACAAAAACGTTGGCATAAAAAGTACCAGAGTTTGTAAGCACCCTGTATAATTTTAAAAACCTATTGCTGTATTTCTCCAATCCTTAAGATATATTTTTTGGATTGAATGGTGATAAATTAGAAAATAATGGAGAAATAACTGTTGAATGGTCCATATTCCACAAAATTATGAATTATTTCGCATGTCATGCAATAGTTTTAAGGAAACAACCCATATGTACTGGGTTTTTGTCACTTATTAAACACCTGCTTATTGCTTTTTTTGTTAATTTTTGACGTTCTGTTAATTTAAAGGCGAGTTTAAAGGTATCTAAATTTAACGTACTAAAGAAGCCAAACGTACCTACAGCAAAGTTTTTCAAATTCTTCTGCATGATTTTCTAATTTAACAACATACATATTTAAGGTAGTAAGAAAGAGAAAAAATAAGCTTTCTAATGACGCATCACATGACCTATGCTGTCATTTAAAAAAATTCAAGATGGTTGTCGCATTCAAACACCCTGTATAAGAAAAAAATCTTTTTGACCTCAAAATATGGGATATAATTTCAAATGGAGCGTTTTAATTTTCATGGTTATATCTAAAATGGTTTGAGCGTGAGACCTTTCGTTCCATATTTACTAGCGACCCTGTACATTACATAAACTGCGTGCGCTCAATAACAAGCAAAGCGGTGCGTGAGTAGAAAATACAATAAAGAGAGTTGATTTCAACAAAATACGGCAAAGTTAAGTTTTGAGGCAATTTATTTTTATTTGATAGTACTTTAATAATTTGGGGGGGGGGGGTTATTCTACTATCTCTCGCGTTTAATTATGGGTGTAATTTCGGTCGGTATACCTATGATTATTTGGTATCTATTTCGATAAACGGGCTGCTGACGCTCAAAAAGTGGTTGCTAAGATTTTGGCTTCATACGGTACACCAAATACCTACGCATTTTACTGCTACGTTAATTTTCCTAAAAATAAGATTTAGATAAATTTTCAAGCGAAAGGTATTAACTACATTAGATAAGAATAAAACAAAAAGAAGTGGGTTTAATTATTCGCTTATTTGATTGTTTATTTAAAATCGCAACTACAATCAGTAATTTGTTTAGCACCGAATAATCAAGGTCGTCAATATTTTTACATATTAAACAAAAGCAATGTTATCTTAGATTACAGCACAACTAACGTATGGTTCGGACTTTTCAAAATACACTATACAGTAATTGGTAGAGAAGGATAAACAATGTCCATGTTTCATGCTTGCATGCTTGGTGTATTGCAAAAAATAACACTAAAGGGTTATACCACTTTTCCACGCCCATCTGGTAATCCGGATGTAATAATAATTGTTGCAAACCGCACATTATGTAGAATATTGACTTAGGTCATGGTAACAAGTAGTGGCGCATCCATAGTTTTCTGGTATTCTGTTCTCAAGGATCAAGATAATGACAAATCATTAGTCGATGCGCTTCGCCGAGGCCTACCACTTAGGTATCCTTTGAGAGTCTCCACCGAAAATGTAAAATACAAAAATAAATTGAATAGTATAGATATAGAAAAAACTGGCCTATGAAATGTAAACACGAGTGTAAACACAAATTTCGTAAATTGCAAATTTTGTACTTTTTCAATGTCATTAAATTAATAAAAGAATTATAAACAGGTGTTTTATCGTAATATTTAATGTTGTGTTTGTTTTATAAACGTGCGTTAAAAATTTGAGATGTGGAAAAATTAAAAAACAGTCGTTTCCGTTCAGCCGTTGAGTTCGCATCGATTATCGGATTGTTATACAGTTATTGCGGATTGAAATCCAAAGCGTACCAGCGACAACGACTCAATTGCGTGAATTTTGAAAAAAATTTTAATGTAAGATGTAGGGATGAGTAGACGAAGATATTTTGTCGTGACCTGTGAGCTATAAAGGATCTTTTACCAAAATTGCATTTTAATTATTCCAGTTAGAGCAAATGGACGGATGGACAGACTTCCGACACCAGCTACTTTTCCCATTAGGAAAAGGAAAACTAGCCAACACCTAAATTTCTGAATTGTATTCTTTGTCTTTTAACTTTTAGGCAATTTTCCACACTAGCGAACCAATTTGTTTTGTCTCTATAGAAAGTATCTGCGTGGTCGAAGACCTTTGGAACATCCTGTGTTTCAAACCGCCTACATATCGAATAAAACATAGGAAAAAAGGAACGCTAGGTGTATTGCAAATTCGCCCAACTCGAAAACTGTAAACAGCGCGTTATTTTAAAGAAAAGTGTGCCAAACCGGATTTATTAATTCTTACTAAATCGAAAGTTTGGTGCAAATTTCTTATTGCAAAAAAATTGCCGGGGGCGTTCACAAACTGAGCAAATACGTAAACGGTAGTACGACAAATCGTCGAATGCAAACTGTAGTAAAAAAAAACAATAGTTTCTTTGTGCGGCAATTAAAAGTGGAAACAAAGCGAGCGACTGAAAATAGACAGTAAATAGAAAATTGAAACATACCCTCGCAACAGGTTTACCCACGATTTTTGTTCCGTTTTTCGACATATTCACGTTTTAAAATGACTAGAAAATACACTGTTGATTTAAATACCGCGCGCTTAGGTCGATCGTCTTTTGTATTAGGTCCACCAATAGGATTAGATATCAACGTTTGCTAAATGGTATTACATCTACATCGCACACACTCCTCGACGAGTACCTTCACTGTACTTAGTGCCACACCAGGAGCAACTGATAGTCATGTTACACCTTTTATTTAAGTATTTCAGTTGCTGGAACTGACAACTGCTCATAACATCATCTATTTGTCGTAAATATAAATTCACTAGATGGACGGGCGCTACGCCTGACGTCATCGATGGTTTAAATGCCGAGCCGTACCACTTCCACGAAATCGTAAGCTTCGCAAGTTTACGTGCACGTCATAAAAAAAGCATCACATGCTATTTCAACCACAAAAGAAAACATTTTGGTAACGCGTGCTTGCAAATACTAAATATGTAAAAAGAGAGAATGTGTCCGACAAGGCAGTTAATCAAGTAAAGATAATTTTTTAATCCGATTGAAGTTATTTCTAGTTCACGTCTTATTGATCTGGTAGAACTCCACAAAACACCGATCAGCTGATTCGGAGTTGCTCTTTTGTTGGATATTTTTAAAACAATACAGGGGGATTTCCGCGTTGCGAAAAGGGCGAAGATGGAAAAAAACAGGTTAAAGTTTATAACGGGGAAGACGAAGTAATCTCAATGTAGGTAAGTAATTAGGGGGATGTTTTTGGCAAACATTTTTAAAATTTATAGAATTCCCGTATTCGGTCATTGCGTTGTACAGATTATTTGCCTATTGCCATTCTGTGCCAAAAACAAAAGAATATTTTTCTATTTCGGTGTTACAATGAGAATTTTGAGCAACTGTTTTCGGCAAAAACAGTGTTTCAATGAGTTCCATTGTAACATTGTTTTTGGTATCTTTTCATCTCTAAGTTGGCAGTTCGCCAAGACGTCAACGTCAAATCATCAGATGTGAAATCAAATTACGTACGTAAAATTTATGTGTTTTCCTTGATTTTTGGTACACGAAGAACTTAATACATTCCAAATCAGCAGTTTACACATCCACCATAAATAAATTTATCTACGAGTAAAAAATTACACATTCACGGAATTTAAAGTTTCCAAATGTCAGTGTTGTGTTTATCTACGCTGCCAACTTAAAATTTGCCAACGTAAATGGTGTTGCCAACTTAAGACATATTAATTTTAAAGTTTCCTATAGTTTTTGATAATTACTTTTTAATTAAATTAAAGCCCCGAAATAGAAAAAATAGTATGAAAAACACGTGTTACAATGCTTTATTGTAATACTCCTATCTTGTGGACACTCGTGGCTCCGCTTCGCTACGCCACTCGTGCCACAAGATAGTCGTATTACAATAGGTCACATTGTAACACTTGTCTTCCAATATACTATTAGGGAGTTCACTAAAAAAACAACAATAAGTATTACAATAGGTCACATTGTAACACTTGTCTTCCAATATACTATTAGGGAGTTCACTAAAAAAACAACAATAAGTTAAATAAGTAATAATGTTCCAGTCGGTATTTATCTTATTATATTATCTGCTATGTTCAGACCCTTCATACTTTCCGATTGTTGTCCATCCGTCCATAATTGAGATCAGTTGTCCTAAACCGAACCTGTTAATAAACATTGAGGCGTTTTCGAATTCCATGCTCCCAAAATACTTAGGGAATTTTTTTTGTTAAAATTGGTTGAGTTATGATTTCGGTTCCAGATGGCTTCATGAGTTCTGAACGTCTCTCTAAGTAAAGATTTATCTGCGATCGTCTAATAAAAAAAAACTGGATGATTTTTACATTTGGTTTTGAGGAATACACATTTTCTAGAGGAGAGTTAGAGTTCTGGACAACCCCTCATCAGTTCTAAAATTTTCTTTATAGTTTTATGAATGAAATATAAATTAAGAGGATTTTTAGTGTTTCATGGTATTGGAACAGTCAGGTCAGTTTCCGGTTAGAATTTTGAGTTCGTTTAGAATTCCGGATGGTACTCTAAGTCTAAGATTTATCTGGTACGGTTTTCACTGGAAACTAATAATAATAATAAAACTATAGACGATTGTCCTATTCAAATTCAAATTCGAGGGCCACCATGGGGATAACTCTGGAACTGTAAGAAATAGATAGGTAGGATAAATTTGACAAAGTTGTTTATTTTGATGCTTGACAAAATGCAGCTTTGAAACTGCATAAATTCCGACTACTTTTGGAGATAACCGAAAAAAAAACGAAATTTTGCAAAATCTTACCTTTCTTATTTCTAAACTGTTACCTCGTATCGCTTCCCGTTACGGAACTTTGAATCGGCTTTCATGGTTCTATTATTTGATCCGTTTTTTTAAGTATACATAGCCCCATATGTATATATTTAAGAAAAATTCCTCGTAAGTAGATGATACGAGGACGATTTTTAAGAGACACTGAAAGATTCTGAAAAATATTTTTTAGAAGATTGTAAAATCTAAAGGAAATTCCAGAAAAAATTTTCAAATGAGAGATCTCTAGAACAATGTCTAAGAAGACTTCGAAGAATGTCTAAAAAGGTCTCCAAACGAGATTGTACTATTACACTTTTTGTTTTAATGGAATTTTCTATAATTTCAAAGAAGATTACTAAACATTTTCCAAGAAGGAAAAATTTCCAACAATATTTCTTAAAAGCTTTCTAAATAGACTTCTCCGATTCAAAAAATCTAAGAAGGTTTCAACAAAGGACACAACACAGTCATCAAAGTGGACTTCAGGGTGGTACCAGGGGTTCCCTGAATTTTAAGAAAATCGTAAAAAGTTGACAAATAATTTTTTGCAGATTTCGGTTACGCTTTTGAAGGAGCTGTTTGTAAAAGGATAATTGCGATTATATAGAAACCAACAGCATACAATCCCCCAATGTAGCATCCTAGAATATTTAACGACCAAATATATGCCATAATGGCGCTGTTATGTTACAATAATTATAATATCATTTTTCTTTTATCCAGCGTTCAAAAACAATCGTGTAAATTTTTTGATGCAAAATCTTTCATACTGAGATCGCAACCCTGGTACAGACTACAGACCCAATTGATCACGCGAATGATGGTACCTATACTTTTATTTATAGTTAAAAATGTCATTTCAGATGACCGGATCTGAGATGCAGATCAAGGTGAGACCTTTTAACTCGCAGACTTAAATTGTGTCCGTACGACTAAGTAGTCAAAGATCATGATCTTTGGACTAGTGAACGTTTGGGTTAAGGAAGGGGGGATGGGGAAATGTAGTCCGACAGGGAGGTGGTTGAAATAGTAGGTAGTAGTACACTAAAGTAGTAGCTATACTTCGTACTTATAATTTTTATAACAGGTAGCATGTGAGTGGGGAGCATAATTTTGCCAATTTACAGAAGATAACATTTAAGTTGTTTGAAGAATGTTGGAAAATGGTAGATCCTCAAAAGTGCAGAATGCTAGAGTAATCGAGGTATATTCAATAAGATTTTTATTTAATGATTAACCATTTTTCGCCATTGACTTTATACCTAGTTATAGTTAAGCAAATCAAAATATTGATCAAAAATAGATGCAGTTATTAGTTACTACATACTCTCAATGTAGGTAGGTGCCTATCTTCAACATTTTAGAAACTCGAAGCCATTTTGTAAAATCGAGATTTGTGTGTAAAAGAGAAAAAAAGAAATGTGGCGTCGGTTTATAATATTCGAATATCAAATGTACACACATGAGAAATGCATAATACATGCAATATCCATCATCCCTAACTATAATCATCTAAGGGTTTCCCAATGAGTAACGATTCCAATCAATATTTAAAACTTACGTCTTTTGATGGTCTACATTGAACGTCTTCATCGGGATCATCCTCTGCATCTTCTCTGCTTATAGCAGGCCCCATGGCCCCTCAGGGGGCTCATCAACGAGGCCGGCCTGCAGTGGCAAACCGTGCGCGTCCCGAACGTTCAGCGCAACCCCGCTCACTAACAAGTAACAAACATCTGTATCTGGATTTGATATACCAATGTGGGGGTTGAATTCAATACTCAGTAGCGTAGACGGCAAAAGTTTGTCTTAAATCATCTTACTTGTAAAACATATTTTGAGCGAATAGAAAGAATAATAAGCCACTTTCTTTGGAAAGAATTGGCTCGTTTCGCAAGTTGTGCGTTATGAACTTTCAATGATTTAAAAAGTATGTAATTGAATAAATATATTGGAACGCAGCTACTACAAAATGTAGCTCAGGTAAAGGATACGTATAATAATTTAGACTTGTTTTCCTTATACCTACCTATACAAATTGAAAACAATACTTACAACTAATAACTTTTTTGTAATTTGACAACCCAAGCGCTAGAGACGATCATGTTCAGCGGCTGGTCGATTCAGGAGTTTACCGCGCATACTCTACAATGCCGCATGCCCGCATAATTATATCAATGAATTGTGTCACGACATATCTGAAAATTTTACAAATCTTCGGGGGTCTAGGACACTTCGCCGAATGCCCACAACGCCGACACGATTTTTTGAAGGTCCATATCGCCGACTAGGGACACTACGCCGACCGTGCCCACATCGTCGACAAGTGTGTAAGGGACACAACGCCGACCATGCCCACTTCACCGACGGACACTACGCCGATCGTGCCCACATTGCCGAAACGTGTGCAAGGGACACTAAGCCGAACGTGACCACAACGCCGACTGTTCGAAAATCCAGGCCCCTCATACTCTGTCCAGTGTATGAGTTTGCATTTTAAAAAGTTTAAAAAACATGTCCTAAACCTACAAATAACCTAATATCCAAAGCTGCTTTGCTTCACACTCCGTCCAGTTTGATTAAGAATTTTCGTATGAGTCTGTAGTTCGAAAAAAGTTAAAAAAAATATTCTGAACCTACAATAACCTAACGTCAAAAGCTACTTGGTGTTGCACACCGTCCAGCTTGATTAAGAAGTGTTGTATGAGTCGACGTTATGGTCACGTTCGGCTTAGTGTCCCTTGTTCACTTGTCGGCAATGTTGGGCACGGTCGGCGTAGCGTCCGTCGGCGTAGTGTCCCTAGTCGGCGATATGGACCTTCAAAAAATCGTGTCGGCGTTGTGGGCATTCGGCGAAATGTCCCGGCCTCATCTTCGGCACGTATTTTTCTTATAACGTTACGCTTAAGTTGCATTAGGGATGTAACACCTATACCTACAGCACGTACATGACTAATTTTCTGACTGTTTATATCCCCAATGACGACCACTTAGCACTTAGTTTTCGTTACCTTCGTCACTCACAGTCGTTTGAAAGGAAAATTTCTTTTTCCATTATTAATAATAAAATACTACCTTCATGTTATTGTGTTATAG